AAGATTCCGTAGCGGGGAGGAGGGCGGGTCGTGGAGCACCCACGGGGACACACCTCGAAGAACCATCGTTACTGCACCAAAGGTGAGTAACCTCTTCTTCTTCTTCGGGTAGTCCCCGTGGGTGCTCCACATCTGGTGACTCCGGAGCAGTAACCCACTAAACGTGGGCTACGGAATCACTAGTGTTGTGGTTTGGCAGCACTGCTGAGGCTAGTGCCGAATCAGAAGCCAAGCGCTGCACTATTGCGTAATGCTTTGAGAAAGTCGTGTTGGAAGACCATGTAGCAGCACGACATATGTCGCGTAATGGGACTCCTCTGACAAAGGCCGTTGACGTAGCCATTGCTCGCGTAGAATGGGCTCTAGGCTGTGATAAAAGCGGTTTCTTAGACCTGCTGTAGCAAGTAGTAATACAAGAGACGATGATCTTCGAGATACGTTGAGCAGATAGGGCTTGACCCTTCAAGTGTGGAAACAATCAGACGGTCCGTTTTCCTAAAACCACGGGTTCTATCTATGTAGAAAGCTAGTGCCCTACGGACTTCCAGCGTGTGCAAGAGAGCGTCCTGCCTTGACGTGTGAGGTTTTGGGTAAAAGCATGGCAGAACGATTGGTTCATTGATGTGAAACTCAGTACAGACCTTCGGTAGAAAGGCTGGGTGAGATCTCAATGTTACAGCGTCCTTAGTAAAAACTGTATAAGGGGGTGATGACATCAGTGCTGCGAGCTCACTCACCCCACGTGCCGACGTTATAGCAAGAAGAAAAAGTACTTTCATTGTAAGGACCGGCATCAGTACAGTTGCTAGGGCTTCGAACGGCGGTCGTGTTAGGACATCTAAGACCAGGTCAAGACTCCATGCAGGTGGCGGGGGTCTGTATGGTAGGTTGAGGTTAATGAGACCCTTAAAGAATCTTGTCATCATGGGATGGAAAAACACTGACTTCCCTTCGATGTGGTGGTGGAAGGCTGCAATTGCTGCTGCATGAACTCTAAGCGATGATATGGACAGACCAGTAGCCTGCAGCTGGAGAATATATTCCAGTACGACATTCAGTGGTGAGATAAGAGGATCCAGGTCCTTAGGAGCGTGCCAGCGTGTGAATCTCGACCATTTAGATAGGTAGGTCTTTCTGGTAGAGTCTTTCCTGCTATATAGCAAGATGCCCTTTACCTGATCTGAGCAAAGCATCTTGGACGTGCTGAACCATCTACCATCCAGGCTGTTAGGTGTAGGGTGTCCAGCTTTGGATGAAGAAGGAAGCTGTCCCGTTGCGACAGCAGGTCTGGTAGGTGAGGAAATCGGTGCGGTGAATGCGTCGACAGCTGCAGGAGGGTTGAATACCACGGCTGTCTGGGCCAAGCAGGGGCTATGAGCAGCACTCGTGCCTTGTCTATGACAATCTTCTCTAGTACCCTGGGAATGAGTACAACAGGGGGGAATGCATATAACAGTGATGGTCCCCAGTGACGAAGAAACGCATCTCCCAGGGAGTGAACGCCCACTCCTGCTCTGGAGCAGTAAGCTCTGCATTTCGCATTGGTGCGCGTGGCAAAGAGATCTACCGCCGGGTGACCCCAGTGGTGGAAAAGAGGTAGGAGGACGTCCGTGCGAATTTCCCACTTGTGGTCTTGGTAAAAATGTCTGCTCAGTGCATCTGCGATGGTGTTGTTCGCCCCGGGTAAATATGAAGCCACGAGAAAGATGTCGTTTTGAATGCACCACTTCCATAAGCGAACCACCTCTGCACAAAGAGACCAGTAGTGAGCACCCCCTTGCCTGTTCACATAGTACATCGTAACGATGTTGTCTGTGAGAATTCTTGTCGTTGTGCCTTTTATGTGCCTCTTGAACTGCCTGCATGCATGAAATACCGCTCACAGCTCGAGAAGGTTGATATGCAGCAGCATCTCCACCGAGGACCAGCGGCCTTGGGCCTTTTCGGTGCCCATGTGAGCACCCCAGCCCATGAGAGACACGTCTGTGATTATCTCTCTTAATGGTTGCGCCGCGTGAAACAGGACTCCTGATAGCATGTTGCTAGGGTCGGTCCACCAGTGCAAGGACTCCTTGAGCCGCGCGGGAAGCGCCACCGGTCAGCCAATGTTGCAGGCACCACACATGTAGTCTTGCGTGCCGCACGATGATCGTAGTAGCTGCCATATGACCCAAGAGCTGTAGGTATACACGGATTGGTATTATTGGGGACTGCAAGATTGTTCTTACTAAGTCTTTTATGGCTTAGAAACGCTCGACCGGTAGATGCGCTCGCTCCTCGAGGGAGTTCAGCCGAGCTGCTATAAAAGTAAGGGTCTGTGTCAGTTGTAGTCGGGATTTCTCCATGTTTACAACAAGGCCAAGAGAAGGATTCCTTGACCCGTGCGGGAAGCGCCACGGCCTTGAGAATACTGTGTCTGATGGGATTGTATACCGCGGTCAGCCAATGTTGCAGGCACCACACATGTAGTCTTGCGTGCCGCACGATGATCGTAGTAGCTGCCATATGACCCAAGAGCTGTAGGTATACACGGATTGGTATTATTGGGGACTGCAAGATTGTTCTTACTAAGTCTTTTATGGCTTAGAAACGCTCGACCGGTAGATGCGCTCGCTCCTCGAGGGAGTTCAGCCGAGCTGCTATAAAAGTAAGGGTCTGTGTCAGTTGTAGTCGGGATTTCTCCATGTTTACAACAAGGCCAAGAGATTCGAACAGAGCCCGAGTGACCGTCACCATGTGGGAGGTCTCTGCATAAGTGTGACCTTTGATCAGGCAGTCATCTAGATAGGGGAAAATTGTGACTCCTGTTCTGCGTAGGTCGGCCACTACGACTGCCAGCGTTTTGGAAAACACTCTCAGTGCCGAGACAAGGCCGAATGGGAGTACTTTGAACTGGAGATGGTCGTCCCCTACCACAAAGCGTAGAAATCGTCTGTGTGCTACATGTATTGAGATATGAAAGTATGCGTCCTGTAGATCTAGGACTGCGAACCAGTCTCCTTTGTTTAGTGCTGGTATGATCTTGACCAGCGTGGTCATTTTGAAGTGCTGCTTGCCTGAGGTCGAGAATCGGCCTCCAGCCTCCCCACTTTTTGGGAACCAGGAAGTACCTGGAGTAAAAGCCTCTTCCCCGAAACTCCCTTGGGACTCGTTCTATGGCACCTATGCTTAGAAGGTGGAGGACTTCTTTCCGAAGAACGGTCCTGTGAGATGGGTCCACGACACGGGCCGGAGTGGAAGGAGTATTGGGGGGAAGTGAAGTAAACAGAATCGAGAGGCCTGATGCTATCAGCTCTAAGACCCATCGGTCCGACGTAATGCTGGCCCACTGATGTAGGAAGGGCTTCAGCCGATGATTGAATATGCTGGAAACAGGCTTTTGTGTGATGACCACTGGAGGCTGGATGAAATGATTTAGACCTCTGAGGTCGAGAATCGGCCTCCAGCCTCCCCACTTTTTGGGAACCAGGAAGTACCTGGAGTAAAAGCCTCTTCCCCGAAACTCCCTTGGGACTCGTTCTATGGCACCTATGCTTAGAAGGTGGAGGACTTCTTTCCGAAGAACGGTCCTGTGAGATGGGTCCACGACACGGGCCGGAGTGGAAGGAGTATTGGGGGGAAGTGAAGTAAACAGAATCGAGAGGCCTGATGCTATCAGCTCTAAGACCCATCGGTCCGACGTAATGCTGGCCCACTGATGTAGGAAGGGCTTCAGCCGATGATTGAATATGCTGGAAACAGGCTTTTGTGTGATGACCACTGGAGGCGTGTTTGAGTCCTTGGCACAGGAGTCAAACCTGCTGCCTAGAAGCAGGCCGGGCTGGTGGGCGATTCTGTTGTTGGCGTTTGCGTTGCGGACACTATCGAAATTTGGGTTGGTCAGGTCCGCGTTGCTGTTGCTTATATGACGAATAATCATACCTCCTTTGGAAAGGGTAGTATCTCCTTCGCCTGAAGGGCGGCATGTACATACCCAAAGTTCTAAGGGTAGTACGCGAGTCCTTCCCCGAGTGAAGAATTTCGTCAGTTGTGGAGGCAAACAGCTTTTGCCGATCGAAGGGCAAATCCTCGACTTTGGCCTGTAATTCCTTAGGAGCTCTTGCCGACAACAGCCATGAGGCTCTGCGCATGGCGACACCCGTTGCCATGGCTCGCGCCGCGGTGTCCGCTACATCAGCGGCGATTTGGAGAGATGTCCTGCACGCCACGAATCCTTCTTGAACTACAGCTTTCAAAAGAGGTCTCTTGCTGTCCGGAAGGTGCTGCATGAGTTCCGGGAGCTTGGAATAGTTGTCAAAATTATGGTTTGATAGGAGTGCAGCGTAGTTGGCAATTCGAAGGAGTAAGGTCGAGGAAGAATAGATCTTACGCCCGAATGAATCTAGCTTCTTAGAGTCCCTATCAGGCAAGGAGTTCTTGAAGTGAGGAGTCTTTGCCTTATGGCAGACTGCGTCGACGATCAGTGAGTTCAGCTGGGGGTGATTAAAAAGGAAGTCTAATCCTTTGGATGGTACGAAGTATTTCTTATCCACCCTTTTGTTAGTAGGTGGTACTGATGTTGGCGTTTGCCATATCTCTTCAGCCACCTCCATAATAGCTTCATCTATCGGTAGGGCAATCTTCCGCTGCTGCTAAGGGTGTAAATTTTTGAACAGTTTATGTTGCTTCCCTTGGGTCTCAGTAAATTGTACCTCTTGGGATTGTGCTACACGTCTAAAAAGGTCTTGGAACTCCTTGAGATCATCAGGGGTTGACATTTCGGCCGGAGTTACAGCTTCATCTGGTGAGGGCATGGAGGAGTGAGCATCAGGGGACATGTCTGGTTCTGTCTCAGATAGTTGTCCTTCCTCCGGGTCGGATTGCTGTGCTTGAAGGGCTGGGGATCGTGTAGGCAATGCAGGCCTGAGCGAAGACTGCTCTTGAGGTCTGGAGTGTATGGAACATGGGCTGATAGATCGGCAGGAGCATGGTGACCTATGGCGAGATCGCGACCGGCTATAGCAAGAGGACTCGCCATAATAGCGAGTATGATAGCGCAAGTAATGTCGGTCAGAGGCTGTAGGTGACGAGTGTCTAGAAGACCTAGCGCTGCTGTGCCTGACATAGTACGTGCGCCGTGGTGAGTGCATTGGGGAATGTCTGGAAGGAGATTGAGATATGGAACACCTATGATGCGAGCAGCTGCGGTCCCTATGGTAATGACGACGAGGTGATGCACTGCGGTTGTAGTGCTTCCTGCGTCCCACATTGTCGTCAGCATGAGTAGATGGGTGAGGGGATGCCTCTGGAGAGGGTGAAAGAGAGAGCTCCTGAACATCCAATCTGGATGCTGCTTTAGGAGGCTGCGGTGGTAGTTGCTCCTGGCATGAAGGCTGCAGGGTTGTAAGCTCAGCTGTGTGTAAAGAGGCAGGCATCTGCTCCGTAGCATGCATTCCCAGTGCGCACGGTGCTGAGGACAGCTCCTTGTGAGGAGGAGTGACTGCAGAGGCTGGTGGGGTCGGCACCGGGAGCGTAGGTGCCGACGGAGCTGGCCCTTTAAGAGGCTCCTCCGGTGCTTGCAGTGCCAGCGGCAGCCAAGGCTTGGATGTGCCTGATGGCTTTTTTGCTGCCGGTGCGCGGGCTGCCCTGGAACCAGAGGCACCCGGCTTGTCTCCTGCGCTCCCCCGCGATTGCGGGGCTATTGGCAGGGACTTAGTAGGAGAGGCTCTCTTCCTCTTTGGGGAAGGCACAGTCGGGGAAGGAGCCCTCCACTTTTCCATAGTGGGGTCTGAAGCAGAGGAGCCTGTTGAAGTAGAAGGCATCAGTGCCTTATCAAACAGGATTTCCTTAAGTCGCCTTTCTCGCACTTTGCAAGCTCTAGTTGTAAGCTTTGCACAGTGGGCACATTTCTGAGGGATATGTGCCTCCCCATGGCAGCGAACACAGGCAGAGTGACCGTCAGAGAGTGGCACAGACTCTCTGCACATGCCACATTTTTTGAAACCGAGAGAACCCGGCATTTTAACAGATTGAGAGGGGTTTATTTCACGCCTCTCTATTCTGACTTGCTCTCTTGTTCCCCGTTTCTCCTTTTTTTTTTTGAAGAATGGACTTAAATGTAACAGAAACAGTAGCCATAAAGAACTAGAAAAAAACGGTAACTATATACAAATTGTAACTGTTTAACTTCCTAACGTTATTACCATGTGTCTCTTTTTTTTTTTTTTTGACAGGATGAGCCCGCGGGGCTGAGGGCTGTTGCGGCAGAAGTCGGAGAGCTACGCTTCCAACTATAACTCTAAGAAATTAAATATATATCATAGTTGTTTTGTTTTCTCTTTCTTTTGAAGAACGAAGCAGTAAACTGCAGAGGGTAAGAAATTATTTTGTAAGTCTTTCTTCAACTTATTGTGAGGTAAATAAGGAGATGAGGAGAGCTCCGTCCGCGACCAGGGGCGGATGAGAAGGAACTGGCGGGGACCGGGTCGCACGCGGCTGTTCAAAGGTGCGAAAGCTGCTCACGCACATGCAACCTGGTCGATAACAGCTATGGCAAGCTCCGATTCGCGGCACCGGGACCAGCCCGACACCAAACGTGGAGCACCCATGGGGACTACCCGAAGAAGAACCAATATTAGCCCCATCTCCAGAGCCCCTCAGTGCCAGCCCAGCCCAGCCTCCATAACCCTCCCCCCTACCAGTTCAGCTTCCAGAGCCAGCCCCGCCCCCCTCACCTCACCCCGCGC